AACCGCTTTTGTTTTTCTATTTTCTTCGATTTTGCCCTTACCCCCCCAACCAAAATTTTGATTTTTTTCGTTTTTTTTTGCCTGATGGGGTGGGGCTGGGGTTGCGCCGCCACGTGTCGCTTCCCGATTCCTAAACCGCCTTCCCCAGCGGCCGCCACGCGTCCGCGAAGATGCGCGTCCGCGCGGACGCGTCCGCGGGGTCGCGGACTCGGCCGCGGCCGTGGACTTAGCCGCGCCTGTCCGCCGCCGAGGGTGTTACATAGCTCTGCACTTCTTCATAACGTACCCGCACCTAGGCACAAGCAGTGCCAGGTTCGGGCGACCTTTGGACAGTTGCTGCCTGCTTTACAAACAGGCGCAACTGTTCACGACCATGAGGGGGAAAATAACATTTAAAAAAAAAAAAAAAAAAAAAAAAAAAAAGGGAAAAAAAACAAGAAAAGAAGGAAAAAAAAACAAAACTAACCTACCTTACATGTATGCAGCCGTTTAACGTGGCACATACATTCGCTCCTGCATTCACTGATGGTTGTCGGGGCACAGCCCCCTGATGAGTCGGTGCAAGTCCGACGAAACAGACTAGCACAGTCACATCTCCCTCAACAACGATTTCGTCAAAACGGACATTTTATATTTTTTGAACGAAATTGAAATTGTCATTTTTGAGATGATTGAAGTGCAAAAACCATTACAAATGGGCGTTTTGGTGTGAGGGGTAAGGGGTAAGGTATAAGGGGTAAGGTGTAAGGGGTAAGGTGTAAGGGGTAAGGTGTAAGGGGTAAGGTGTAAGGTGTAAGGTGTAAGGTGTATGGGGTAAGGTGTAAGGTGTAAGGTACCATGCAAGGGGCAAGTGACACAGTGCACCGAGGAATAATTAACACCTTATATACATTGTTTTTTGTCAAGCGCCACCTCGTGCCAACCACGTCCGCTCCCTTCGCAATCATACTACATAATATCACACACACACTACTCACGAGCCACTGTGTCCAATGCCATCCGACGACGTATCGCGGGTATGTCATCTGCGGTGAAACAGAAAGGCGGAAGTTGACCCTGTGCCAAAAGTGACGCGTACGTGAGTACAAAGACCCCACATTCGTTCGTGTCATGTTTCTTTGGAATGCCCTCTACATTCCATATGTGATTGAATGGTCTCGTGTCCACCTCTTTGCCTTGCGATTTTAATCTTTCGAATAAAAACTTTGCAAACCCGCCGGTTACTTTTAACGAGAACTCCTTGTCATGGTCGAGGGGGTCGTACAATTCGAATTTCCTCCTCCTCAAGTCAGCCACGACCAAGGTCTAGTGGTCATGATGTGCGATATGGAAAGGAGCAATAATCAAATCCATGTCACTTATAATTACATCCTGGTACCAGCGTTCTACCTCTCGGCCTCTATATCTCATGTCATTATCGAAAAGTTTGACGGAAAAAAACGAGCTCAGCACTGATACTCTGGGAATGCGACCGTTTCCTTCTCTAATGACTATCTCATTATCCTCGTCGCATTCTGCGTGCTGTATTCTACAGCAGTTGTCTAATGCTACGAGGTTGAGATAAAAGTTGATCACGTTGTCGTTTAACCACTGCTGTTCGACGGCGAGTAAAAGRAAATCGTTGCGAGTGAGTTGCAACACTTCGTTATTGTGCGCATCTTSTGTGCTGACAACGGGATACCTATTCCCGTATTCGCGAATGATATGCGCTAGTGCTGCCATCTCCCTGTCCGATAAAGACGAAGTTGCTAGATGCATTGTCCATCCTTTTTTGCATAATCTTATATCCGTTGTTGTCATTT